CCATGCACCTTTGGGATTGCAGTGCAGCTTCTTGCCACTAGGCCACCAGAGCTTGCCAAGAATTGATACCTTTTAACTGCGGTGTTGGAGAAGAGTGGTGAATATCCCATGGACTGCCAAAAGAACAAGTGTATGTCTTAGAGACCATGTAGTCAGAGAGCTCCTTGGAGGCCAAGATGATGACGCTTTGTCTCATGTACTTTCGGTGTTTTGCTAGGAGAGCTAATTTTTTGGAGAGGCACATCATGCTCTGAAAAATGGAGGTATGCCAAAGGAGAGGAAAACCCACAACCAGGTAAATTGACAGCAGTGACTGTGGCAGTGGGTTTGTGTTAGAGATTGTTAGGATGGCACAGGGTAGGACAGGTTTGTTGTTCAGATCTCTTGTTCATGGGGTCACCATGAGTCTTCCTGATTCTGGCATCTAACAACAACATATACATGGATAGGGAGCTCTAGTGGCCAGGTGATAAGAAACTGCACTGTAATAATCCCAAAGGTATGTGGTTTGATTCCACCAGCTGCTCTGTGGGAGGCTGAGCAGTCTCTTCCCATGCAATATATTGCCTCTGAAAACCCACTGGAAGGTCATCTGTGGGTTGTTTCCAACCTGATGGCACACATCAACATATGCATGGATGTGTTCACGGTATATACAGATGTGAATGTAGAAATATGCCAATATATGTGTGGTATTACCTTAAAGTCGTTGGGGATGTTTTAGCCATTACTTTAGCCCCTTTGGTCTCCAGCTAACATAACTGCAGACATAGGGTCTTGCAAATAATCAACAGCTGTGAGACGCTTCCCACAAATGAGGTGTGGTAGAAGTTGAGGAAGACTGTAGCCAGACTCTCGTGATGGTGGTGAAGACACTGGTAAAGTATAGCCAGATTGAGTCTTGAGATAAAGGTCACAGTTAAAGTTTTTTTTGCTGTTCTTGCTGGATACTTAAAGAAGAGTCTTACTTAAAACTACTCTGAGGCAAACTTTGCTGGATGATGAGGAAGCCAGAAGCTTGAATTTGTGTTGCTGAACTGGAACTACACCTTACATTACTTCAAGAATTGTGCCTTGGGACTGCTGTGCTAAAACCTGGATTTGAATTGAATATATTCTTTGCCCCTCCCTCTCCCCCCAACTTCCCTAATAAACTCCACTCTCAGTACTATTGCTGAGTAAAGTCTGTGAGTCAATAATGAATAAACAAACTTCTTGCTGCTAGTGTGGCTTTGGAGGTACCTTGGGGCTGGGCTATGGGCTTTTAATCTGCTTTCTGTTTTGCAGTGGTGAGTGGCTGCACTATTTACTCCCTCTAGCTGTTCCAGAGGTATTCACAGTTCTGTGCTCTTAGGCCCCATTTTCTTAGAGTGTATGCATGGTCATGGATCTAGTCTTTTTGCCTGCCCATATCTATTTGTCTTGCCCATCTGCTGATTGTGCTTCTGAGAAAGGTTTTAATTATCTGCATGAGTAGCCTCTATAAAAATGAATAAATATAAGGTAACTTTTAAGTAGATTTTTCTCTTTTCATTTACAGATGCCACATCAAATGAACAACAAGAGCTTTTCTGTCAGAAGTTGCAGCAGTGTTGCATACTGTTTGATTTCATGGACTCTGTCTCAGACTTGAAGAGCAAAGAAATTAAAAGAGCAACACTAAATGAACTGGTTGAGTATGTTTCAACTAATCGTGGTGTAATTGTTGAATCAGCGTATTCTGATATAGTAAAAATGGTAAGCCTCTAGACTTAATGTTCCTCAGATACATAAATTCAAGTAAGATCTGAGGTGTATTTAGAAATGAAACAGAATGTTTTTTAAAAATGTATTTTATACCCAAAATATTTTTTTTTCCAAAATATTTTTTTAAGCCATCACATGTAAAAGAGCGTGTGCCCATTTCAGTGAGGCTTTCGTTGTTTTTAATAGCTGGGAGTTCAGTTGCCTAATTGCTGGTGGCTGCCAGAATGAACATGAAGATCAAGAGTTTAGGGAAGAATTACAGCTTCAGGATTATACAGGTTGATAATTAATGTGATAGGAGTGAATAGTTACTGAGAGAACATATAAAGGAGAATGAAAAGACCATGAGAAACCAGTGATTTCTACATTTAAGTAGTGGGTAAGGGAAAAATTTAGAGCATTTCAGTATCAACATTTGTATATTCTGTGATACCTTGAAATGTAGAATCTTTTAGAACTTAAACAGTATAAATATATCTTTTTAAGGCTCGGATGTGGAAAAATAATTACTGCCAACATAATAGTTATTAGTAATTCATTCCTACCCTGCATCAGACTTTGGAAATTTCTTTAGGATTATAAAATACTGTTAATAATATACTGTTATATACTAACAGAAAATTTAGTTGGCATAATTAGAGTGTGGAATACATAATAAAAGCTAATAGCAAGTATGTGGCTTTCCTTTTGCTCCCCTCCACTTCTATATGCACAATGTAGGAAAGGTAAGCGTGGCCTAACATACTATTTGGTTTTCATTCACAAGCCACAGGCTTGTGGAAATAATTTAAAAAAAAAACCAACAAAAAAACCTTAAAAATTTTCAAGACTTAGTTACAGAGAAAACATTAATCAGAATAAACTTGATGTTCTGAAGTCTGACAATAGTAAAAAGGAAAGAAAAATTCTAGAATAAAAATACAGAGTATAATGTTTCCTGTTTTGTTTCTAGTTTTATCAAAGAAAAAAAATGCTTGCATTTATCAATTTTTAGAGAAGATATCCTTATTTAATCTCTACTAAATTATTGATATAGATATTAAAAGTACTCAATTTTACTTAAGTAAAATTATTTTGTATATTTGTGTATTCTAGCCTTCACTTTCTCTGCCCAAGTATTTTTACTTGGTAGTTTTATGTGTTCTTTAATTTCTGAATACTTGATTGATTTATGACAATAGTCAAGCCGACTCATTTAATATTTCTTTAAATTATGTTTTATTTGTTATATATAGTTGATTTTATTAGTCTACAGGCTAATTTCTTCTGAAGTGACTTTTTTTTTTCCCTACCAACAATAATTAGTGTGATCTCAGGGCAAATTATCCGCTCTAAGGAGCTGTGGTGACAGTGATTAAGCCTTCTGGTTTTCATTTTGAACCTACTAGCTACACTGAGAAAAAGATAGGGCATTCTGCTTCTTTAAATAGTTTTACAGCCTATTAGACAGTTTTTCTCTGCCTCTGCGGTCCCTTTGTATCAAAACTAACTTAACAATAGTTTAGGTTTGAGAAAGGTGCTATATTTCATTTTTCAAAATCTATGGTTTCTGTTCCTCTTTGTTAAGTTGATGCTCATGTGTCTCATGTACTGGCTTTGAGTTCCAGCTGGTCACAACTATAAGTTCTTAATTTCTGAGCTTTATGGTTATAGTAATTAACTATTAACAGTTATTTGGCCTACCTTAGATACCATTTTATAGTAGTTTTATAATTTGGTATCTTGCTAGTACCACTAATCATCCCTTTTCTCATTCTGTCTCCCAAGTAGTTTCTCTCTCTCAAGCTTCTAGTCTTTAAATAATGTAGCCTTAAATATTATTGCACTTTTTGGTCAATTAGTATGCTCATTGTTTTTTCAAAGAATTGTGGAATATGTATATTACTAGAAAAATAGGATACGTCATTTGGCACTAAGACAGATATATGTGAAGAATGAAATTGTAAATACTATATTGACTCTAAAATGATAGGTTATTTTTAAATTTCAGAGACACTAAATTAAATAATCTTAGGATATTAAACTGTGTCATCATAACAGCAAGGTTATTCTGTTTCAGTCCCCTCCTTACAGTGTCTGTTATGTATAAGAATGGAAATGTTTTATAAAATTTCTTTAGAGTTGTAAATATGGGTTAACATGAGAATAAGAATAGGTAAAGTTAGTAAACTTGCCCCCCAAATTTTTCTTTTAGGTAAAAACATGGAGTGAAAGCTTGTAATTTATAGAAGAACTCAGTGGTTCAGTAGCTTAGGGTCTGAAGGAGTAGGAGTTACTTGGTATAGAAATGAGAGAATGACCTAATGCTTTTCCTAGATAGAGTGATCTTAAAAGTATTTTATTTTGTGTTGTTGAATCCAGCTATACATCAAAGAACGTAAATTTCTTTTTCTTTATAGATTAGTGCTAACATCTTCCGGACCCTTCCTCCAAGTGATAACCCAGATTTTGACCCAGAAGAAGATGAGCCCACACTTGAGGCCTCTTGGCCTCATATTCAAGTATGGAACATAATTATGTATTGGCAATTCGTAAATTTGTCCTCTAAATTGTCTGTTAAAAACCATTTTCTTCTCAGAATATTGCTTGAAAAGTTGTTCTCTAGACTTTTTTCCTTCCATAAGAGAGATGAATTACTTCCTTGAGGAGCTTTTTTTTTTTAAAAAAGAGACATTCATTATTCATTGTGTTGTTAAATTTTTCTTATGTGTCATCTACAAAATGTAGATTGTCTTGAATGTACCATGGACTGCCAAGAAAACTTTAACAGGTCTGTCTTGGAGAGGGTGAAACCAAGTTTCTCCTTGGAGGCTAGGATTTTGAAACTCCACCTCACATACTTTGGGTATGTGGCCAGGAGGGACTGATCCTTGGAGGACATTATGCTTGTAAGGGTGGAGGGACAGGGCAGAGAGGAAGACTGTGAATGAGATAGAGATACAGTAACTAGGGTAATGGGGTAGATGTATCAGAGTCAATGAGACTGACTGGCTTAGGACAGAGCAGGGCTTAAGATTCTTCTCCAGCAGCACAACTCAAAGGCATCAGTTCTTCTTTTATTCTCCTAAGCCATTACCCAACTCTGATGCATAGCAAGTAATTGCAGAGACCATGGACTGGATCAGGTGCACCTTAGTCTCTAGACTGATATCGTTGCTTCTCAGTACTCTGGAAAGGTCTCTGACTACAGATTTACCTAATGCAATTTGACTTTGATATCCTGACTGCTGGTCAGGGATGTGTGCTGTCTTCATACCTTTTCAATCTGTGTGCAGAACAGATCATCCAGTAGCTGGGCTGTATGAGGAGGAATGTGTCATCAGGATTGGAGGAAGACTCATCAACAACCTATGTTGTGCAGATGACACAACCTTGCTTGCTGAATCTGAAGAGTACCTGAAGCACTTGATGCAGAAAGTCAAGGACTGTAATTTTCAATATGGATTGAAGCTCAACATCAAGAAGACAAAGATTCTCAGCACTGGGCCAGTTGGCAGCATCATGATGGATGCAGAAGAGATTGAGGTTTTTAACAGTTACAGCTTGCTCGGCTCCTCAGTCAACACTTTTGGTACCAACAGTCAGAAATCAAAAGTCCATAGATTAGGACTTCCAAATTTATTTCTGTTTTTTTCCTCTGGTGATCTGGAAAGTTTTTTATTTTACCCCTACCTCCTTAATTTCACCTTGAGTTGAGTTTGGTATACATTATGAGATGTGTATCTTGTTTCCGTTTTCTGCAGATACTGTTGTTGTTAAGTGCTGCCAAGTTGATTTTGACTCATAGTGACCCTGTGAACAACAGCTCTGAACCTTTCCCTGTCCTGAGTCAACCTTACTGTTTCTGACATACCTACGCCCATTGCCACAGTCTGTCAGTCCATGTCATCCAGGGTCTTCCTTTCCTACACTGACCTTATAATCTTCCAAGCATAATGCCCTTCTCCAAGAACTGGCTGGCCGTTCCTGACAAAATGCCCTAAGGTATGTGAGAGAGTTTCAGAATCCTTATACCTCCAAGGAGCAGTCTAATTTCATCCTCTCCAGGAAAGATTGTTTGTTTTCTTGGTAGTCCATGGCTTGTTCAGTACTCTTTTCCGGCACTATAACCCAAAGGCGTCAATTCTTCTTCTGTCATCTTTATTCATTGTCCAGCTCTCAGAGGCATAGTAAACAGTTGAGAAGACCATGGCCTAGATCAGACACACAAAACCAACAGCCAGCATCCTCCTTAGTAGAGACATGGTTTTTGTAGATAGATGTCCAGTTTTGCCAGCATCATTTATTTATTAAAGAGGATGTTATTTCTCCACTTAATGGATTTCATCTCCTTGTCAAAAATTAGTTGACCATAAGTGAATGGTTTGATTTTGGGGTTCTTAATTCTATTCCACTGTTCTATATGTCTGTAGTTGAACCAGTACCATAATACTTTTTTGATTACTACAACTATATGGTAGGTTTTGACATCAGGGATTGTTAAGCCTCATACTTTATTTTTTTGCTTATTTGAAGTTTCTTTCAAAATATAATTGTGAATTGTCTTTTCCATCTTCTTGAAGATTGTAATCAGTATTAGGATTGCATTTGAATCTATAGACTGCTTTTGGTAAAATTGTCATTTTCACAATATTGAATCTTCCTATCCATGAACATGGTATATTCTTCTATTTATTTAGGTCTCTTTTTGTTTCTAGTTTTTTTGTGGTAGTTTTTGTCATTTTCTTTATATAGATCTTTTGTTTCTCTAGTTAGATTTATTCCTAAGTGTTTCATTTTGTGGTTAACTGTTGTAATTGGTATTCATTTTCTCGTTTCCTTTTCTGTGTGTTCTTTGTTACTGTAGAGAAACTGAACTAAATTGTTTGTGTTGGTCTTTGTATCCTGCCATTCTGCTGCATTGGTCAACTAGTTCCAACAATTTTATTCCTGAGTCTTTGGGACTCAAGCAAGGTGTTATTTAGCTTCCAAGTGCATGTGTTTTTCTCCTTTATCCTCTTGTTGATTCTCATTATTGTGGTCTGAAAAGATGCTTTGTAGTAGGTAGTTCAGAGTAGTAGGTCAAGGTTTCCTCTGACCTAACATGTGGTCTACTCTGGAAAATGTTCCGTGTGCACTCAAGAAGACTATATTTAGTTTTTGTTGGGCGAAAAGTTCTATGCATGTTTATAAGATCAAGTTTGTTAATTGTGTAGTTTAATTCTTCTGCACTTTTACTGATATACTAGTTGTCCTGTCTTTCTGTGAGAATAGTGTGTTCAACTCACCTACTACTATTGTGGTGGTATCTTGCTGTTTAAGTCTGTTAACATTTCTTTTGTGTATTTTGCAACCCTATCATTTATTTGGTGTGTAGATATTAAGTAAGGTGATATCCTGTTTTATTGATCCTTTGAGCATTACATAATATCCTACCTTGTCTCTTATGCTGTTTTTCACCCTGGCATCTATTTTATCAGATGTTAATACTGCCACTTTTGCTTTTTTTGGTTGCCATTTGCTTGGTATATTTTTTCCCTCCCTTTGAGTTTTAGTTTATCCTCACATCTCGGATATGTCACTAATATCCAGCATATTGATGGGTTTAGTTTTAATCAACTATGCTACTCTTTATCTCTTAACTTGTCTATTTAAACCATTCACACTCAGTGCAGTATTTGCTAGGCAAAGTTTCATTTCTGCTATTTTGTTGTTGGGTACTTTTTTGTGTTGTTTGTAGTTCCTTTACACTGTCCACTTGTATGTGCTGTCTCTGTGTGGAGGACTTCCTTCAGTATTTACTGGAAAGTTGGGATTGTTTTCACAAATTCCCTTAGTTTCTGCATTTCTGAGAATGTTCTAATTTCTCTGTTGTTCTTTACCAGTAGGCCACCAGAGTTCCCTTATGGATTCCTTCAATTCTTCAAACACACTTGGCCAGCTCTTTTGAATTTGTTCTCAGAGAATGCTATCACTCTTTCTTCCTCTGGAAGATTTATTGATTCTGTGTTCTGACCACTCATTTGGTGACATCTTATTTTAGTTTTTTGTGTGGTTTGATGTTACCTGCTGCTTCCAGGACATTGTGGTAACATTGTTATTGTAGATTTTTAAACTTCCTTTCTTCTGATGTGTGTGGTAACTGATGGGGATTGTGTGTTATTTGTTCATTGTCTGTGCAGTGCAGTTTGTTAGAGGTAGATGGTTGTCAGTGGTATCTAACCAGTTAGTGGTCTAGCCAGGTGGGATATGTGTTGAACCTTGCTTTGACGGAATGTGTAGGCACTCTGAGCTACTATGTTCTGGGATCTGCAGTGAGCGTGGTATGGGAACAGGCCCACAGTTATGGCTGTCAAATTGTTACCTTTCCCTGCTGCCACTTGGTGGAGGGAGTCTTTGACCCTCTGAGAGTATGCAGCATACTTTCTGACTCATTGAATTTCTGAATCCCTCCCTCAATGTGAAACAGGATTTCTCTGATTATAGTCTTTTGTACCACTTAGGGAATTCTGTACTGTCCCTTTTATGTTTTCTGCTGTCTCTACCTTGAGTTGAACATAACTCAAGACTGTTGGGCTGGTATCAGGTGTGGTCAGCTGTGGGGCAAGACCACAAGGTGGAGTCTTGGAGCCATTTAGGCTGCTGCCAGAGCTATCTGTGCTGGCAGTGGGTGTGGCCTAGGTTGCCCCCCGATGTTCTCAGCAAAGCCAGGGAGCCAGCATCTGTAGTATCACCAGTGGGTATAGCTTTTGCCTTAGAGGACTGTTATATCTGCCAGAAGCCCACATGCAAATTCCCACCCCCTACACATATGCAGAGCTTCTGAGCACCAAATTAAAGATGATGTTACTGAGCTCCTACCCCTTTCCTCCCCAGACTCAAGAAAGTTTTGGCCTCCTTAATGTAAGAGGAGGAATGAGGGGTAGAGTAAGGAAAGGACCCAAGAATGGCCTGCTCATTTTGAAGAATATTCAGTTGACTGGTTGTCCAGTAGAAAGAAAATGCCCTATCTTTTCCTGTGGAGCTCATCTGATGGTTGTTTTTGTTATTGTTTTTATGTATCGTCGAGTCACTTGCAACTTATAGTGACCCTATGTATAATAGCCCTGAACCCTGCTCTGTCCTGTGCCAACTTTGATGGCTCTGACACAACTACCCTCATTACCACACTCACTGAGTCAATCCATCTCATCAATGATCTTCCTCTCTTGCACTGTCCCTCCACCGTCCCAAGCATGATGCCCCTCTCCAGAAACTGATCCCTCCTTGCAGCATACCCAGTGTATGGCAGATGAAGTCTCAGAAACCTTGCCTCCAAGGAATAGCCTGGTTTTACTCTCTCCAGGATGAACCTGTTTGTTCTCCTAGCAGTCCATTATATATTCATTATTCTTCTACATCAACTCTCCTGTCATCGCTAGTCATTGTCCAGTTTTTTGATGCATAGAAAATAATGGCAAAGATTATGGCCTGGGTCAGGCATACTTCAATCTCCAGATTGCTGTTCTTCAACATCGTTGTT